GAAAGTAGATTACGTTTTTAGGAGCTGGGGGGATTAAGGGCAGTTTCTCAAAAGGAAAAAGTTACCTTGTGAGGTGATTTTAAACAATTCTAATATCAATTGAAGCAATAGTTCCACAACATTGTGACTATACTAAGAACCACTGAGTTGTACACTTTTTTTTTTATTTCTGAGACAGGGTCTCACTCTGTCACTCTAGTTGGAGGTGGAGTGGAGTGATCATAGCTCACTGCAGCCTCCAACTCCTGGGCTCAAGCTATCCTCTCATCTCAGTCTCCCAAGTAGCTGGGACTACAGGCACATGCCAGCCACCAAACCAGGCTAATTTTTTAATGCTTTACAAAGACAGGGACTCGCTATGTTGCCCAGGCTGATCTTGAACTCCTGGCCTCAAGTGATCCTCCCACATCCGCCTCCCAAAGTGCTGGGATTATAGGCGTGGGCCACCCACCATGCCCAGCTGAATGGTGCACTTTAAATGGATACAGCATGTGGCATATGAATTATATCTCCATAAAAAACTGTTGCCAAAAAAAGAGAAAAGCTGCCCAAGGCCATCATGGCAGGGCCGGGCTCAGGCATTGTGCTATGTCCAGCCACCCTAGAGCTGAGGAGACACCAGCTGGTCTGGCAGAACGAGGCCACTAAAGCTCCACCCTGGGGAGCTCACCCAGGTATCCCTTCCCCACTACTCACTCCCAACGTTCCTGAGCTAAGTGAGCCCCTTCCACAGTGGGGGCAAGGAAGGGACAGGGCCAAGCCAACATCTATAAAGAACCCTGCACCTACACTTTCAGGCACTTTGTCTCATCTCCCCACCACGACAACCAAGTGAAGAATTCTTACTATTCCCCTTTGATAACAAAGTCCCATTTGGAAAAGGGGCCCAGAGTGGCAGAGCCAGGACCCTGCCCATTCCAGACAATGTGCCCTGGTTTCCAAACAGGAGGCAGAAGCTCTCACAGCTGAGGCCTGCCCACTCACTTCTAAGACACTTGGGTAAAGGGTGCAGGCCATGGCCCCCACCCCCAAAACCGCCTACCATGCTACGACCTCACCAACTTCCCTCCCACAGCCAGCTTCCGAGAGAACCAGAGCGGGGGCTGCCAGACCAAGACAGGAGGATGCTGGCTGGTGTGTGGCATCCGAGAGCCTCCACTTGAGCCTTGGCCCCAAGGACCCAGGCAGCCCCTTGAACTCTCAACCTCAGGTGGCTCCTCTGAAAATCACAAGACAAAAAGATCAAATATAATTGGTGTTCAACACCCTATAAACATCAGTTCTCCAGTAAAAACAATTAAGATGCAAATACAGGAGAAAAGAAAAAACAAAAAAAGGGAAAAACTTTACCCCACCACAAACTCTCGATCCACTCCAGCTTCAAGCCCTGATTCTCAGCCCCCATCTTTCAACTTAATGAAACTTGCTGGAAACCCCGGGAATAAGGAGAGGTGGCTTTCGTTCTAACTGGGTGAACCCGGGCTGGGCACTTGGCTCCTCTAAGCTTCATTTCCTCATCTGTGAAATGGGGACACAGCCCATCGGGTCAGGTTCCTGTAAAAACGAGCTGAGTTAAAGCTGGTGGTCCTGAAACAACAGGTTCTCTGCAGGTGTAAGCCCCTTCCAGTCTGAATGTAAGACCACATCCCAACACTTCTGAGCAGGACAGGTAGGAAACAGTCACTAACCTGAAGGTGACAGCACTAAAAACAGAAAAGCAGGAGATAGAGACTCTACCCGATTGCCTAAGTGACTCAAGTACTTTTCCTCAGATCATTCAGATACTCTGGCAGGCGCCACACACCCCGCCACCCCCATTCTTTGCAATTTTCAGCAACTTCAAGAAAGCGGAAGTGACTACCACTGGTTTTTAGCGACCGTTTGAAAACCATGACTCTGGCTGCAAACGGAAGAAGGGGAAATTGTAAATGAGAAAGGAAGCCATTAAAAACGAAAACTACCTCTGCTCCCTCCGCCAGCTCTGCACCATCGCCTCTGGTTTCTTGTTTTGCAGTGTTGTTCTAAGGCCTTCAACACCATCTGCCCCTCAGGAGCCCCCAGCCCCTTCCCCAGCTCAGAGAGAGCCTAACTACAGCTCCCACAGAGCCATCCCCACGGCGGCTGCTGCCACTGTCTGCCTGACCATCCAAGGAGAGGAGTGAACCGCTATCAGCAGCAGGCTGGCCAGCACCCAGCTCTTAAAGGGCCCACGGTTCAGAGGATGGCAAGACCACTTCCAACTTCCCCCAATCCACAGTCAGCTCTCAGCCACATCTGAAAGGTGGTTGGGAACACTCGATTCCAAGGATGGGGTGATGGTAATGGCAACCCCACTATCTCGAGCAGGACCTATGGTGTGTGCAGAACCCAACACCACCCCAGCAAGGTAGGCACTGGGGACACCCATTTGGGAGAAGGGGCCACTGGGGCCAAAGAAATGAGACCTGGCCAAAGCCAAATAGCTTTGGTCCCATTCTCATGATGAGCTAAGGCTCTCCCATGGCTTGGGAAAGCCTGAGGGAGGGTCCCCAATTAGAAGGCACCCCAGGCACCTCCTCCTCGGACCCCAGAACCACACCCTCCCAGGGGAAGTGGCAGTTCTGGTCCAACCCTGGGGGAGAGAGTAATTAGGAAATAAGAAAGTCTAGGGACACTTGGCCAATGACTGGGGAGGGGGCTTGAGCACTCATACTGAGAACTTGTCTCCTGAATTAGTCACAGATTTAAAGGAAAAGACAAATGAGCAGATTTTGTAGCCCTTGGATAAACAGAGAGGGGAAGAATGAATATTACCATGTGATCCAAAGTCAAAGGCCTGGGTTCAAATCTTAACCTCTCCAAACAGAAACCTCTGTGTGGCCTAGACCAAAGACCTAACCCCACAGCACCCCAGTTTCCTCATCTGGGAAGTACTTCACAGATGAAGTTAATGTAAAGCAGCACTTCCTGGAGAAAGATCCACAAAACCTGTGTGCAAAGGGAAAACCACAGTTTGGCATGGAAAGGAGGGTGTGTCCCCAGCAAGCCAGGTGCTGAGAATCCGGGGAAGGCTTCTCTCACCTCATCTCTTGCTACAAACTCTCACCAGCTCTCAGCCCTGGCAGGGCCACTCCTCTACCTTCCCTGAGCTCTCTTGAGCCTAGCTCCTCCTAGGTCCTTCAGGCCTACACACGGCCACCACTTCCTCCAGGAAGCCTCCCTGACTGTGTTAGGGGCCTGCTCCACACAGCTTCCACAGCATCTGGGCCTCAGCTCTGTGACAAGAATTGCCTGTTCAGTCATCTACCTCCCCGTGGAAGATGCCAATCTCCCAGGATCCAGCATAAGGCCAGGCTCACAGTTAAAGATATCTGTTGAATTAATGAAAACTGAAGCCAGAGGAGGAAGGTGATCTGCTAAGGTCACTTAGCCATAGATCCTAAAAAAAAAAAAAAAAAATAGGAAGAGGGGAGGACCAGAAGAGCAAGCTTTCCTCTAATGGAAAGAAACAGATGACCCAACAAAAGCCAACCATCAAAAAGACAATAGTAAATCACAATACACAACTCACACAACACAGGTACTCAGGAGTGCAACAGAGCACATAAGCCAGAACTATACAAAGTACCCCAGCATTAGAGCAGGGTCTCTCCTCAGCACCACTAGCATTTGGGCTGGATAGTTCCTTGTGGTGGTGGGACTTGCCTGTGCACTGAACAGCATCCCTGGCCTCCACCTACTACACACCGGTAGCATTCCCCCCAGTGTGACAACCAAAAACGTCTCCAGCTGTTGCCAAATGGCCCCGGGGGGAACACAATCACCCACAATTGAGAACCACTGCAATAGATAATCTCAAACCAAATAATCCTAAAAGCTACTGATTCTGGAGCACTTACTGCGCCTTGCATTCTGCCACAGGCACCTATAAACATTGCACTTAATCCCCAGAACCCTCCTGTGCGAGCACTCCTGTTGTTCCCATTTACAGCGAGGAAAAGGAGGCACAGCACACATGAATAATCTGTCCAAGGTCTGACCACTTGGGGAGGCAGAGCAAGGACTCGAAACCAGGTCCCTGTGACAAAAGGCCTCACTCTAAACAATTAGCCTGTACTGCCGCCTCCTGATCCCAAGCCCAGGGCAAGAGTCACATGGTCTCATTTAATTTAATACACAATAGGCAAAAGTTTTCTTTTTAAAGAAAACAGAGCACAACATTTTCAGCAGCACACGCAACCACCAGTCCACCACCAGTAAGCGCACACAGCAGGGTGTGGCGAGCATTTCCATGTGTTTTGTGCAGGTCACTGCACAGGCTCCTAACATGTTCTTCAGGCAATCTTCAGTTCTTGCTCCATCTGCCGTGGGCACTGATGGTTAGAACCTTGCCCTCAGGTTGGACACAACCCCACCGCAGTTTCCCTACAACTGTGAACCCAGTACCACACCTGACAGACACGCAGCTTCCTTTCCAGAAACATCCTGCCTGCCTTTTTTGGGGGGGTGTTAATGGTAACATCTGTGTCCTCAGCACAGACGCATGTCTTTCTGTGTGTAAAAGAGTGACCAAGAAAGACCCTAACCAGAGGTCGTCACATTGTAAGGGCCTGGACAAGCACCCCCGCCAAGTTATTTTGCCCCTCGCCCTCCCAACACATCTGCACTCATGGCTCCCCAAACATTCCCACCTTGACATATTTGCACGTGCTGTTCCTTCCCACCAGAAGGCCCTTCTTCCCACTCTCCATCAGTCAACTCCTACTCATCCTTCCTAGACAGAAAAAGCCACCCATCCAGCCAGTCTCACCAGTCCCTCCCGCTCTGTGGCCTCCTGCAGCGCCCTGAGTTACCTCTATCACCACACACAGTAATTGTGACTGGACTACTCTGCCTTTGTCTCCCCAGGGACCGACCCCTCCTCCAGGGCAGGTCTGGGGCTAATCTCCCTCCTCTGTGCCCAGCACTGGGTCTCTGCCCTGCCCTCAGCAGGCTTCATCTCACTAAAAACCAGGATCGATTGGTGGCTGCTCCGGAGAACGCTGGCACCCAAGTCCCTCCACACAACAAGAAGCCAGAGACAACCGGGGGCAGGAGAGCCACAGTCAAGGTGAAGGGAAAGCCCCACTACCTCCTGTCGGCCTGCCCCAGGGGTGAGGCAATGGAGCCTAAGAAGGCTGGCGAGAGTGAAGGGGTGATGGAGGCGAGAGTGTAGGGTCTGTGGAGGAAAAGAAGAGGGTAACCAAAGGGAAGGAAGACTCCTGGGGGGACGGGGGCAGTGGGCCAGAGGAGTAAGAGGGAGGAACTGAGTCTGAGGGTGTAAGAAGGGTACCGTGGTAGAAGAAACTGGGGAGGGGAGGCTGGAGGGAGAAGGGGGGTGGGAAAAGATCGAGGGGGAAATGACTGAGAGACTTGGGGGGACTGAGAGGAACAGACTATGAAACTTGGAGGGGAATGAGGGGAAGAGTCCGAGAGACTAGGGCAGACTAACGGGGAAGAGACGAGGCAGGGCGGGGAGAGGGGAACCCCAAGGGAGAAGGGAAAGGATCCGAAGGAGAAAAGACTGAATGGACTCGAAGGGCGCGGGGGAAGGAGAACGAGGGGCCTGGACTTCTAGGCAGGGTCCCGCGAAGCGGGCCGCTCACCTGCGAGGGGGGGCGGCGGCTCCTCGCACTCGGGGCTCATCGGGGCACCCCCCCCGCCCCGCCGCAGCGGCTCTGGCCCCCGCTCCGGGGCCCGGTATGTGGGGGCGGGGGGCGGTGTCGGGGTCTCGCGCAGGCGCCGGGGCTAGCGGGGCCGGCGCACGCGCCCACGGGTCGGGGAGGCCTTGCGCGCGGAGTCTCGCAGAGTTGATTGCTGGTGCCGTGGGGATGTCACGAGACCCGCACAGGCGCCTCCGGGGTCCGCGCCGAGGCGGCTGAGCTAGGTCGCGAGGCCCGCGCAGGCGCCTCAACAGGGAGGACGGGGAAGTCGCCCCGGTTTCCTCAGCTCAGCCCGGCGCCGCGCAGGAGGGGAAAGTGTCCTCCTCCGCAGTCCAAGCAGGCTGCAGAGCTGAACAGCGACCGACGAAAGCCGAGGCCTCCTGCCTCAAGCGCCCCTTTCCCCAAACCCAGCAGGTCTCCAGGGTCTGCGGTCCGCCTCAGGGCCTCTGACGCCCGGCTCCCTCCGCCACTATCCCACAATCCCCTGAGCGCAGGAGGAGACAGGAGGCCCCGCCCTCCCGCGGCCGTCTCGGTGCGCAGGTGCGAGAGGGCCCGTGCGCCTGGGCTCCGCATGGCGCGTGCGCGCTGCGCCCAGGCGCGCCCACCCCGGAACCCCGCCGTAGATGCGCTTGCGCCCGTTTGTGCCAACGGTCTCGCCCGGAATAAACCCAAACGATTCGATGCGCAGGCGCATGCCTGGCGGCCAGTTTCTCTCTGACTCCGTTCCACTGTCCAGTGGTTATCCTGCTCCAGAATTTCTCTTTCCCATTCACTCCGTTTGGAAAGCCTTTCAATATTCTGTCTCCTCCAATCACATTCCTGCCTTGGCGCCAGGATCGAGCTCCTGCGGAATCCATCCCTGGCTTCCCTGCCAACCAGCGCTGGCGCTTTTGTCCCGCGGCCGGGTCCTCTCGCCAATCTTTCTCTGAGCCTCTCAGGAGGACCTCAGTCTCACCTCCAGGCCGTTGACCTGGCTGTGTGTCGCTATTGTTACTAGTTCTGCACAGTGTCCTCTAATAACATCAACTAGAAGGGTCCTCCTAGACTTTAACATCAATATTCATTAAGGTCCCATCTGGCTCTGAGCCTCAGTTTCCCCAGCTTTCATAGCTCTCCTCCCTGCCCATGTTAGAGGCCCACTGCAAGGATCAAATGGGTAATTGCGTGTGAGGACTTCTACTTTTTTTAACTTTCAGAATTTCATTCCAGGGACATTTTCTTGAGTTATATATTTGAGTATATTTTCCTGTTCTAGTTTTTTGTTCTTTCAAGGATGCCAATCATGCACTGTCCTCCACATCTGTTAGCTTCTCTTTCATTGCTTTAATCTCTGTCATCACCAGCATTCACCGATTAACACTTGCCAATGATTTGACTTTTCTGCCATGTTTTCTTGTGCTCCCTGCTATTTCTAGTCTATTTGTTGCACATGGTGTTGTATGGTTCCTGTATCAGTTAGCTATTCTGCATGACAGACAACCTCGGTGGCATGTATCATGTTCGCAGCTTGCAGTCGCAGTTGTAAAGATTGGTTAGACTGGTTCCTGCTCCCCATATCGCTCATGCACTACTGGACTACCCAGGGCACCATCTTATAATGAAAGGCAGGCACATTAGCCCAACTGTGTTAGCACATTTCAAGTCTCTGATCGCTTCACATCTGCCGCTGTCCATTGGTCAAAGCAAGTCATATGGTCAAGCCTGCCGTCAACCTGCAGGTGCATACACTCCACACACCATGGGGTGGGAAAGTGTATTTCTCTCATGAAGGTGGAAAGGGAGGAAGGGAATATCTGCTGCACAATCTAGTTTACCACAGTCCTCAGTGTGTTTCCTTAGGTTTGCTAGTTGTCTCTTTTCATCTTTGGGATCTTGTTTCAAAGTGGACCCAGGTTCCTATTGTTATACAGTTTGAAGCAACTGAGAGTGTATTAGTCAGGGTTCTCCAGAGAAATAAAATCAATAGGATACATGTAGGTATATAAAAAGAAATGTATTTTGAGGGATTAACTCTTGCAGTAATGGAGGCAGAGAGTGCTACGATCTGCTGTGTGCAAGATGGAGGCTCAGGAAAGCTGGTGGTCTAGGTCCAGTCCAAGCCCAAAGGCCTAAGAACCAGGGGAGCCAACTGGGTGTAAGGCCCAGTGAGTCCAAAGGGCTGAGAATCAGGAGATCTGATGTCTGAGGGCAGAAGATGGATGTCCCAGCTTAAGAAGAGAGAGCAAATTCACCCTTCCTCTGTCTTTTTGTTCTATTCAGGCCCTCCAAGGATTAGATGAAGCCCACCCACATTGGTGAGAGAAGATCTTCTCTTCCCAATCTACTGATTTAAAAGCTGACCTCTTTTCGAAACACCCTCACAGACACACTCTGAAATAACATTTTACCAGTCATCTGGGCATCCCTTAGCCCAGTCAAGTTGACACCCAAAACGAGCCATCACAGTGAGGCATTTTCTTTTCTTCTATAGGGATCTTTTGTCTTTTGCCCAGCATTTGGCTTCCTTGTTTTTTCCTCACAATATGATGGCATAGTTTATTATATGGCCACACTATTTTAACACATAAGCTCAGGAACTGAAGGGTAGGGAGGTGGCCATATTCAAACACCAAATGAAACCTGTAAAGCTGAGGAAACCAGTCTGCAAGAAGCTGGGAAGCTGTGAGGGCCTTAAGGACTGAAGTCTGAGTCTCCACCCTGTTAGAATTCACACACAGTGATGTTGTTTATTAGAACTGAAACTAAGTTAAGTGTATGGTGGGAACATTGATTCCTCATTGTTCACCTTTTCACGTGAAAGAACAACTAGTTAGTATCTCTCTACTGGCCTGCTTTCAGGAGACCAGGAACGATTTACCTGATTGGAAGGGCATTGTAGCTCCATCCTCCAGCTCTCCTTCCCCTTGGAGGCAGGGTGCCCACAGCATGCCTGTGCACTGGCCTGCTCCCTGCCACCTAAGGGAAGACCTATGCTTGCCCAGCTGCCTATGACCAGGAAGTGTCTAATGCTGGGGTAAAGGAACAGCAAGACCAAAACTACCTTCTCTGATGGCTCTAACGGTAATAAAGGTGACTTTTGATCTCCAGTTCTGAGATCCTGCAGCTATCTCTCAATTTATCCTGTATTTTGGAAGAGGGATGAAAAAAGTCAACCCAAATCCCAAATAAATTCCAAAGTCCTGGGTGTATAGGTACAATCTGCACGAGGAATGAGTCTGGCATCAAATGAGACTAGGAAACCAGAACACAAGGAAGAGGAGCACACTTCGGAATTAGCCCAGGTTTGAATCCTGGCTGTATGAACTTAGCCAGGGATTAACCACCCTGGGTACAGCTTTCCCTCTTGAAAAACGGCATCAGGACTCTTGGCTGCAAATGACTCCCTGCAAAAAACTCTCTTTAGCTAAACAGAAAAAAAATTAAAATATTCACAGAGATGAGGCAGACTCCCCCAAATCTTTGAGAAAACTGCTGAGTTGTTTTGGTGCCATGCAGTCAGAATGAAGCCCACACCCAACCACAGGCCTCTGGGACACAGAGAGCCTCCCCGACCAGCACTGGGCTCAGTCACTACTGCCAGAATCTCTGCCTACCCTCTCCAAAAGCCACGTGCATCTGCTTCCACACTGGGCAGAAAGGACCCGTGGGCCAAAGGCTCCTCTATGGCTAGCTCCCACAGCCACCACTGGTGGGTTCTGATTGGTGGAGGACCCGAAGAGGGGGCTCTGATTGGTGGAGCTTAAGTCACGTGACCACTGCAAGGGAAGCTGGGAGAGAAAATGGCTTCTACCTTAGAGAGGCTTAACCCTAAGGGAATTCAGGATGCCAGGTGGCCAAAAAAGACAGCTGCTACCCCATACTTTCTCTCAGGAAAGGCCAGGATAATTAAAGCAGACAACGGCTCTGTGGATGATAAAGACCAACACTTTTTTTATTCCTCTAGTGACTCCCCAAGTCCCTTAAGCTCGTGTCCCTCCTACCCTCCCCCATGCACCCTCCAGAGGAGGGGACAAAGGCGGCAGTGAAGGAGGAGGAAGAGAAACACCTTTATTGGAAGAGTAGTGCGGACATGAGAAGGGATAAGAGTGAGAGAGCAGGGGCTGTGGGGGTCCAAAGAGCTGGTGCCTTTCTCAGCGCCCCCTCCAGGGGGCTGTGCAGATATGAGCTGACACATCCTGGGCCCGGTCACCAACGAAGCTCTGTGATCCCTTGGGAGAGGACCTCCTGGGTGGAGAGGGAGGCAGGAGGCCTGGGGTTCCCACGGAGAGGGGACCCAAGAAGCCACCTGGTTTCATCGATCCATGCTGTCATCCGTTGGGCTGGAGAAACATGTCTGTAGCAGCTTTTCACAGAACTCTAGCTCTTCCTAGATTGGGGGAGGGCAGAGTGGGAGCCCTGAGTGCAGAGTCCAGACCCTACCTCCCAGTACTCTAGACACGCAGAGGTGGCTCCTCTTCCCTCCTGGCTACCCAACCTTCTCCAACCACTGCTCAGATCCATGATTCAGTGTTTCTCTCCTCACTGGCGTCTGAACTACTGAACTAGAACCTGCCCATGTCACCCCATTGTTCTGTCCTCACATTAGCCCCCTTGGGCTATTTTTAACAACTGGATAGAGACCCCTGTCACTTCCTGCTTAAAATCCCTTTCATGGGTACAAACCCTAAAAACCAAGAAAGAAAGCAGGTATTTTTTTTTTTTTGAAGAACAGAGTCTCACTTTGTTGCCCAGGCTAGAGTGAGTGCCATGGCGTCAGCCTAGCTCACAGCAACCTCAATCTCCTGGGCTCCAGCGATCCTCCTGGCTTAGCCTCCCGAGTAGCTGGGACTACAGGCATGCGCCACCATGCCCGGCTAATTTTTTCTACATATATTAATTGGCCAATTCATTTCTTTCTATTTATAGTAGAGATGGGGTCTCACTGTTGCTCAGGCTGGTTTCGAACTCCTGACCTGGAGCAATCCGCCCAACTTGGCCTCCCAGAGTGCTAGGATTACAAGCATGAGCCACCGCGCCCGGCCAAGAAAGCAGGTATTGACCAATTTAAAAAAGAAATAGCAGAGTGCACAGTGGAAGCGTAAAAAAAGAGGAAGGTAATTTTTAATAAAAGAAAAAGAAAAAAGAAAGAAAAAGAAGAAAGAGGTACTGATAGATTGAAACACATAAATGATAACTCCACAGCAAAAAAAAAAAAGCAAACAAAAATGAAAGAAAAACAAGTTGAGGGTAAAATATTTGTGATACATATCATAAATGGCTAATGTACTTAACACTAATAGAGCTTTTTAAGGCCAGGCGCAGTGGCTCACGCCTGTAATCCTAGCACTCTGGGAGGCCAAGGCAGGCAGATTGCTCAAGGTCAGGAGTTCGAAACCAGCCTGAGCAAGAGCGAAACCGTCTCTACTATAAATAGAAAGAAATTAATTGGCCAACTAATATATATAGAAAACATTAGCCCGGCATGGTGGCGCATGCCTGTAGCCCCAGCTGGGAGGCAGGAGGATTGCTAGAGCCCAGGAGTTTGAGGTTGCTGTGAGCTAGGCTGACGCCATGGCACTCACTCTAGCCTGGGCAACAAAGTGAGACTGTGTCTCAAAAAAAATCAATTGCAAAAAAAAAAAAAAATCAATTGCACCCGGTAGATAAATGTACAAAGGATATGAGATAGGCCTCAAGGGTGGGGCACCCCTTCACTTGGCCCAGTGTTGGCGCACCAGAGACTTAAGGGATGGCTGGGGGATGAAGGCAAGACCCACATGCTCCCCACCTGAAACCACAGAATGACCTACACTCTCCCCAGCTGAAACCCCAGGCCAAAATGGTCCCAAGCTATCCCTGACCCACAGCTTACAGACGCTTATCTTCACGGTTCCTGTGATAAAGTCTGGGTGAACAGCTGGGGTTGGATATCTTGCCTCTCCTGGTCACCCCTACATCCAGTGCCCCTCTGTAAACACTTGACAATGTCCACAGAGAAATGGACTCAATAAAATGGACATCCCAGGGTGGTGGGCACATTTGCTGGGCTCAGCTTTGCTGCTGCACCAACATCTGGGCAGTAAGTTCTTCAATGAATGAATCAATTACTTAACAACTGGTTAACTGAACTATTTGAATATTCAATTAGTTATGATTCATCATTTATTTGTTACTTATCTATTTAGTTATCTCATGAGTTATCACTTGTCTCATTTTATCTATTTAATTAAATATCTAATGACTTATTATAGTATCACTTGAATATT